CTGGTCTCTGCCCCACATTCCCTGACCCAGCGCTCCATCTCGGCAGGAAGGACGGCCAGGAACTGCTCCAGGATGACCAGGTCCAGCATCTCCGCCTTGGAGTGTCGCTGGGGCTTCAGCCACAGGCGGCAGAGAGAGTGGAGGCGGCTGCAGGCCTCTCGGGGCCCCAAGGCCTCCTGGTAGGTGAACTGCCTGAAGCTCTGGCGCTCTGCCCCTGAAGGTGGTGGGGGCTCTCCCCTTAGCAGCCCCCCCTCCTCCTCCTCCTTCCCCACCAGAAGGCTTCCTCCTCCTCCTCCTCCCCACCACTGCCCTCCATTCCCAGCAGCAGCAGCAGCAGCAGGAAAGGCAGGCAGAGGGTCCAACCTGGGCAGCAGAAGAGCCATGACCCCTCCTGGGAAGGAAGGAAGGAAGGAAGGAAGGAAGGAAGGAAGGAAGGAAGGAAGGAAGGAAGGAAGGAAGGAAGGAAGGAAGGAAGGCACTCTCTCTCTCCCCAAGTCAGGAAACCTCCCAAGGCTCTCCCAGCCACTCCTCCTCCTCCTCCTCCAGGAAGAGTTCCACATGGCCAGAAGAGGAGGGGCCTGGCCTGCAGGAGGCTTCTGATTGGCCATTCACTTACTCTCTAGGAATCCACATGTTTTGCTTTAACTCTTTGGAAGTCAACTAGCAAAACCTCCCTCTGGAAGACATGAGGAGAGGCTGCTTTCAAGGCATTTTCCCAGGACAAGAGGGTTCGAAGAACTTAAAGCAGCAGTTCCCAAACTGAGGTCCTCTGGATGTTTGGACTTTAATCTCAGCAATACACAATCCTTGGCCAAGGAAGATGAGGCTTCTGGGAGATGAAGTCCAAAACATCTGGAAGTCTAGACATTGGGACACTGCCTTAAAGGCACCAGGACACTTTCTGTCCTTGGAAGCTAAGGAGTAGCTCTGGTAGTGCTTGGATGAGAGACACCAATGAATCCCAGTAGGATTCAGAGGAAGCTACTGGCAACATTTGGGTGTTACTGTTACTGCCTGCTCAGAGCTGCTTCTTTAAAACACCAAATCATCCAGCAATGGAAAAGAAAACCAGAGAAACAGGCAACACTTCCCTCCAGGAGCCTCTCCTGTTTCTCAGCCCTCAGCTTCCTTGGGTGACTCTATGCTGTAGAACAGGCACCCTCAACTTGCGGCCTTCCAGCTGTTTGGGCCTCCAACTCTGAGAATTTCTAACGGGCTTCTTCCATTGTCAGGAATTCTGGGAGTTGAAGGCGCAAACAGCTGGAAGGCCGCAGTTTGAGGATGCTTGCTGTAGAATGAATGCAGCTTGACACCACTTCAATGGTCCCGGCTCAGATTCCTGGGAGTTGTAGTTCAACAAGCTCGCTCTTTAGCCTTCTCTGCCAAAGAGGGCTAGGGCCTCCCCAAACTACAAATCCCAGGATCTCATACACTGAATAACAGTATTCTCAGTGTTATCACACAGCATACACGCTTACAGTATAGAATAGGTGCATCCTAGATGATTCTAAAGTCCTTGGGTGGGATTGTGGTGCAGCTGGCTGAGTGTCAGCTGCATTAAGATCACTCTCACCAAAAGGTCATGAGTTCGAAGCCAGCCCGGGTTGGAGTGGGTTTCCAACCAATTGTGTAGCCTGTTGTCAACCTTTGCAACCCAAAAGACAATTGCATCTGTCAAGTAGGAAAATTAGGTACCACCTTAAAGTGTGGGGAGGCTAAATTAACTAATTTATGAGGCATAAAAAAGACTCCAGCAAAGCATTCCAGCGAGGAAGCATGCGGGGAATGCGGAAGTGCTTCATCAGTGTCGCAGATGGACGATGAAAGCGACAGCTCCCCTGGCGGCCAGAAAAAGTTAAATAGCCTCTGTGTATGTCTGTATATGTTTGTATGTTAAAAATTGGCATTGAATGTTTGCCATATATGTGTACACTGTAATCTGCCCTGAGTCCCCTGCACGGTGAGAAGGGCGGAATAGAAATACTGTAAATAAGTAAATAAATAAATAAATAAATGGGGGAATTTATACGGGAATCAACGCAGCCTGATGCCACTTTTACTCCTATGGCTCAATGCTATGGAGTTTGCAATGTACTTCGCTTTCTTTGCCAAGGAATGCTGGTGCCTCCCCAAACTACAACTCCCAGGAATGCATAGTACTGAGGCATGGCAATTGAAAGTGCTGTCAAACTGCATTCATTCTGCAGTGTAGATGCATTCGGGGAGGGCTATACTTGTGCCCTAGACTTTAGCCCTCAAATGCACTAAAAGGGAACCACAAGCAAACCAAATCGAGTTTGGCTGCTGGAAATGACCATTTTGGCGGCCTTTCTCTGGACATATTATAGGTTGTGGATTCCATAAACAAAGTTCCACATAAGAACCACAGTGACATTTGGGAGGCCCTGTGTAAAATCAAAGAGTTGGAAGAGACCTCATGGGCCATCCAGTCCAACCCCATTCTGCCAAGAAGCAGGAATATTGCATTCAAATCACCCCTGACAGATGGCCATCCAGGCTCTGTTTAAAAGCTTCCAAAGAAGGAGCCTCCACCACCCTCCGGGGCAGAGAGTTCCACTGCTGAACGGCTCTCACAGTCAGGAAGTTCTTCCTCATGTTCAGGTGGAATCTCCTCTCTTGTAGTTTAAAGCCATTGTTTTGCGTCATAGTCTCCAGGGAAGCAGAAAACAAGCTTGCTCCCTCCTCCCTGTGACTTCCTCTCACATATTTATAATTGGCTATCCTATCTCCTCTCAGCCTTCTCTTCTTCAGGCTAAACATGCACAGCTCTGTAAGCCCCTCCTCATAGGGCTTGTTCTCCAGACCCTTGATCATTTTAGTCGCTCTTCTCTGGACTTCCCACAAAACCACGTAAGGGCTTCAGCCATAGATAACTGTGAGGGGTCTCTCCTGATCAAAGGGAATCTCCTTCCACAAGGCTCTCTGGTCTTCAGGCAGCAATTCGTGAAATGTAAAGAGCAGTGACCACATTACTATCAGATATATTAAAATTAACTGGGTATTTTTTTATTACAAAAGTGTGAGTCAAGGATTGAAAGAGTGAGCAGGCCGAAGCCTGTTAAAAGAGTCAGTGGGCCAAAGCTAGTGTCGTTCTGAGGAGAGTGAGCAGGTCGAAGCCTGTTAGAGTCAGTGAGCCAAAGCTAGTGTCTTCCTGAGGAGAGTGAGCAGGCCGAAGTCTGTTAGAGTTAGTGAGCCAAAGCTAGTGTTGTCCTGAGGAGAGTGAACAGGCCGAAGTCTGTTACTGTCAGTGGGCCAAAGCTAATGTCATCCTGAGGAGAGTACGTAGGCTGAAGCCTGTTAAAGTCAGTGGGCCAAAGCTAATGTTGTCCCGAGGAGAGTACGTAGGCTGAAGTCTGTTAGAGTTAGTGAGCCAAAGCTAGTGTTGTCCTGAGGAGGAGGCTGAAGCCTGTTAGAGGCAATGGGCCAAAGCTAGTGTCATCTTGAGGAGAGTGTGTAGGCTGAAGCCTGTTATATTCAGTGGGCCAAAGCTACTGTTGTCCTGAGACTGAACAGGCAGAAGTCTGTTACTGTCAATGGGCCAAAGCTAGTGTTATCATGTGGAGAGTGAGCAGGCCGAAGCCTGTTAAAAGTCAGTGGGCCAAAGCTAATGTCGTCCTGAGGAGAGTACGTAGGCCGAAGCCTGTTAGAGTCAGTGGGCCCAAAGTTAGTGTCGTCCTGAGGAGTGAGCAGGCTGAAGTCAAATTGAGTCAATGGGTCAAAGCTAGTGCCGTCCTGAGGAGAGTGAGCACGCTTGTTAGAGTCAGTGGGCCAAAGCTAGTGTCATCCCGAGGAGAGTGAACACGCTTGTTAGAGTCAGTGGGCCAAAGCTGGTGTCATCCTGAAGAGGGTGGATAGGCTGAAGCCTGTTATAAACAGTGGGCCAAAGCTACTGTTGTCCTGAGAGTGAACAGGTCGAAGTCTGTTAAGAGTCAGTGGGCCAAAGCTAATGTCATCCTGAGGAGAATATGTAGGCCGAAGCCTGAGAGATGCTGCTTTCAAGGCATTTTCCCAGGAACAAGAGAGGCTTGAAATAATTCAAAGCAGCAGTTCCCAAACTCAGGTCCTTTGGATGTTTGTAATTTAATATCAGAAATATTAAAAATTTGCTGGGCGTTTTTGATTACAAAACTGTGAATCATACACCGAAAGAGTTAGTGCGCCAAAGCCTGTTAGAGTTAGTGGGCCAAAGCTAGTGTCATCCTGAGGAGTGAGCAGGCTGAAGTCAAATGGAGTCAGTGGGCCAAAGCTAGTGTCATCCTGAGGAGAGTGAGCAGGCCAAAGCCTGTTAAGAGTCAGTGGGGCAAAGCTAGTGTTGTCCTGAGAAGAGTGAGCAGGCTGAAGCCTGTTAGTCAGTGGGCCAAAGCTAATGTTGTCCTGAGGAGAGTGAGCAGCCGAAGCCTGAGAGTCAGTAGGCCAAAGTTAGTGTTGTCCTGAGGAGAGTGAGCAGGCCGAAGCTTATTTGTGTCAGTAGGTCAGAGCTAGTGTCGTCCTGAGGAGAATGTTCTGTTGGAGCATGTAAGGAATCAGTTGGTGAGTGTGTTAAGTGTAAAATGCAAAGCACAAAGTTGACTAGTTGGGCCATGACAAGGGAGCTAGCTGAGCCTGGGAGTTTTGGCAACAGTAACATTTTTTTTGCTTCAGCAGTGCAGGTGATTTCAGACAGAGAGACAGTTTTTGCTTCATGAGCTTCTAGAAGGTAGATTTTCCACGTGGACAATGAAAGACGATTTATATCTCTCTCAAGGGATATTGTGTGAGTCAATGCAACTGTTCACATGATTGCATATATGTTGCTCTACATTACAAAGAGTAAACTACTTCTTTTATTAAGCATCTGCGTGGCATTTTTTCCACTCCTGGCAGTGTGTGGACTGCTAAAATGTGAACTACGTGTCATTTACATTACATAAACAGTACAGAAAGAAAGTTTTTTAAAGGCTCCAGTCATTCCTCAAAAAAACCACAACAGATACATACTATTTTAAAGTCTTCTCTCTCTATTACAGAAATTCAGTCTCCACATGGTTTGGATGAGGGAAAAGGAGGGAGGTATTCTCCGGGCATTTAAAGGGTTCTTTCCCTCATGTGTTTCGCTTGATGAAGATAGAGGGATCGCTTCAGTTTGAAACTTCTTCCGCACTCCAAGCACTTCAATGGTTTCCCCCCAGTGTGTATTGCCTGATGAGCAATGAGGTAACTTTTTTCTGTAAAAGAGCTTTGGCACTCTAAGCATTTAAAGGGTTTTTCCCCAGTGTGGATTCTTTGGTATTCTGTGAGCCTTGCCTTCTGTGTGAAGCGCTTCCCACACTCCAAGCATTTAAATTGCCTCTCCCTAGTATGAGTAGCTCGATGATAATTCAGGAGTGTCTTCTGAATGAAGCCCTTCCTACATTCCAAGCATTGGAATGGTTTCTCCCCAGTATGTGTAGCTTGAGGATAGGTGACGGATGTCTTCTGAGTTAAACTCTTTCCACACTCAAACATTTAAATGGCTTCTCCCCCAAGTGAATTGTTTGATGAGAAGTGAGATGTGCCTTCAGCATAAAAGACATCCCCCACACTCCAAGCATTTGAATGGCTACTCCCCAATATGAGTAGCTTGATGACGGGTGAGGCTTGTCTTCTGAGTGAAACTCTTTCCGCACTCCAAGCATTTAAATGGCTTCTCCCCAATATGAATAGCTTGATGTCGGGTGAGGCTTGTCTTCAGAGTGAAGCCCTTCCCACACTCCAAGCATTTAAATGGCTTCTTTCCCGAGTGAATTGTTTGATGAGAAGTGAGGCTTAACTTACGGGTGAAACATTTTCCACACTCCAAGCATTTAAATGGCTTCTCCTCAGTATGAGTAGCTTGATGATGGGTGAGGCTTATCTTGTGAGTGAAACTCTTTCCGCACTCCAAGCATTTAAACGGTTTCTCCCCCGAGTGAATTGTTTGATGTGTAGTAAGATGGGTCTTCTGAATGAAGCCCTTCCCACACTCCAAGCATTTAAATGGCTTCTCCCCAGTATGAGTAGCTTGATGATAGGTGAGGCCTATCTTCTGAGTAAAAGACTTCTCACACTTCAAGCATTTAAATGGCTTCTCCCCAATATGAATAGTTTGATGTCGGGTGAGGCTTGTCTTCTGAGTGAAACTCTTTCCACACTCCAAGCATTTAAATGGCTTCTCCCCAGTATGGGTAGCTTGATGATGGGTGAGGCTTATCTTGTGAGTGAAACTCTTTCCACACTCCAAGCATTTAAAGGGTTTATCCCCCGAGTGAATTGTTTGATGAGTAGTGAGATGGGTCTTCTGAATGAAGCCCTTCCCACACTCCAAGCATTGAAATGGCTTCTCCCCAGTATGAGTAGCTTGATGATAAGTGAGGCCTATCTTCTGAGTAAAAGACTTCCCACACTCCAAGCATTTAAATGGCTTCTCCCCAATATGAGTAGCTTGATGACAGGCAAGGCTTGTCTTCAGAGTGAAACTCTTTCCACACTCCAAGCATTTAAATGGCTTCTGACCAGTATGAGTAGCTTGATGACAGGTGAGGCTTGTCTTCTGAGTGAAACTCTTTCCACATTCCAAGCATTTAAATGGCTTCTCCCCAGTATGAGTAGCTTGATGATAAGTAAAACGTTTCTTCTGAACGAAGCCCTTCCCACACTCCAAGCATTTAAATGGCTTCTGCCCAGTATGAATAGCTTGATGATAGGTGAGTCTTGTCTTCTGAATGAAGCCCTTCCCACACTCTGAGCATTTAAATGGCTTCTGCCCAGAATGGACGGCTTGATGATAAGTGAGGCTTGTCTTATGAGTGAAACTTTTTCCACAATCCAAGCATTTAAATGGCTTCTCCCCAGTATGTGCAGCTTGATGATAGGTGAGGCTTATCTTCTGGGTAAATGTCTTCCCACAATCAAAGCATTTAAATGGCTTCTGCCCAGTATGAATAGCTTGATGATAGGTGAGTTTCGTCTTCTGAATGAAGCCCTTCCCACACTCCAAGCATTTAAATGGCTTCTGCCCAGAATGGACGGCTTGATGATAAGTGAGGCTTAACTTATGAGTGAAATTCTTTCCACACTCCAAGCATTTAAAGGGTTTCTCCCTTGAGGGAATTGTTTGATTAGAAATGAGATTTTGCTTCCGAATAAAAGACTTTCCACACTCCAAGCTTTTGAATGTTTTCTCTCTGGTGTGAATTGCTTGATGATAAGCAATACTTTTCTTCAGACAGAAACATTTTCCACATTCCAAGCACTTGAAGGGCTTCCTCTTAGTGGACATTGCTTGCTGATAAGAGACGCACAGTTCCCGATTCTCTTCACAGTCCCCGTACTGAAATGATTCACCTTCTCTGTGAGTTGCTTGACAACAAAGATAATGAGAACACATATTGAAAAATCAAAATCTTAATAGGTGTAGTTAAAGTCCTCACCGACAATTTAAGCAATCAATCCCATTACTGAACTTCTCTCACTTCAAGGGTTTCCATCTGTCCTTTAAACAGAATGCATGCTTAAAGGACAGATGGTTTAAACGTTGAGCCAATAAGCAATGTACCTGCATGCTGAATACACGAAGTTCTAAGTAAATCAACTATGTTAACTTTTCACAATGACTATTTATTTTTGGTCCCTTGAGAGCATGATTTAAAAGCCATATATTTTAGGGGAGAGTAGATGCTTTGGGGCAACTAAAGTAAGACTTCTGAAGATCTGATAAATATTTTATGCATTGGCATATCTTTGTTCCTAACAACTCCGACAGGGAGCTCTGGCGTGGGCTGGTCCATGAGGTCACGAAGAGTCGGAGACGACTGAACGAATGAACAACAACTCAAAGGGATCACCAGGGATAATACAACTGAGAAACCTAAATTGCCTTGCACGAATACTAGTGGATATTTACCACTAAGGAGAAGATTGACTCAAGCGAGTTTTTAACTCTTCTCAGGAAGATCATATTTTATGATGACTCCAAATAGTGTAAATGCCAGTTGATCTCAAAAAAGGGTCACACTTCCAAATGGCTATGGAGACACTGGTTTTACAAAAGGTCTCAAAAAGTTCCTAAATTCCAAAAGGTTTGGCCTTTCAAAAGGCTATGATTTCCAAAAATATTTGATTCCCTGCTCAGTCATGGAAACTTATTGGATGACCTTGGGAGAGTTACACAATATCAGCCCCAGAAAACCCTGTGATGGGTTTATCTAAGGCTTGGCATAAAATGGAAATGACAACAAGAACTATCGAAATAATGACATATGCTGTAAAAAATGATGGAAACAACCAGTTTCTTTTCAACCTGTTTCAACACTGTTGATTTTGAAAACGACACATGGGAGTTGGACCTATAGAGATGCTATAGTGGAATGGTAAACTTAATGTTATCTTACCCTTATCTTAGCTTTTAATTGACATTATGTGACTATGTCATGTTTTGACTAATACTTACTCATAAAAGAGGGGGCCTTACTTAAAGAGGACACAGTCTCCAGATTTTCCTCCATGACCTTCTGATGTAAGGCCCTTTGGTCTGGATTCAGAAGGACCCACTCCTCCTCACTGAAGGACACGGCCACCTCTTGGAAGGTCACCTGGACAGAGAAACATGATTGGTAAGCAGGACACACTGACCCCAGCCAGAAAACCTGTTGCTTCTGATGGCAGATATAGATGTCCATCTTGACACAGGGACTTTGATGCAGGCATCTTGGGTGGAAAGAGGGGGAAATAGCAATGAGAGAGGACACAGGATGCCTGAGCCCTCCTTGACCCATCAGGGATTCTCTCACCTACCTGATCTGGTGTCACAGAAGGTGTGCTGCGTACATCAAAAGGAAGAGATAAGCCAATATGTGTTGGTTCTGATTCACCTCCTGCAGGAAGAGAAAAGGCAAGGGTATTTTATTGGCCATGGTCTCCATTTCTGGTGGTATTTATTTATTTACGACATTTATATGCCGACCTTCTCACCCCGAAGGGGACTCAGAGTGGCTTACAAGTAAAAAGTAAATTTAATATATTACATTATTATCATAGAACAATATTAATATTATATATTACATTGTACTATAACATTATACTGTAATATTATTAGTAATATTACATTTAATATAAACTGTATAATTATATCATATTATTATTAGTATATTGTATTACATTCCAATATGATCAATATTATATGTATATACAATTTATATTATATATATTAATGTATGACCACAAAATACCTTTATTAGTATATTGTATTACATTCCAATATGATCAATATTATATGTATATACAATTTATATTATATATATTATATTATATTATTATATTATATTATAAGGACAGTTCAGGAGACAAAATGGAACTGTCTTCATGGCCCCTCTCTTCATTCTGATCTCAGAGCAGCGGTTGGTGCTGGGGTGGGGGGGGGCTCCCAACTGATGACACTGGAGGCAAGATGGTACTATTTTCCTAATGATATGAACTGTTCAATAATGGAGTATGTTGTGAGTTGAGAGTGTGATGGAGTCACTTTCTCTGGAGGTTTTTAAACAGGTTGGATGGCCATCTATTAGGAGTACTTTCAGTGTGTATTTTAAGAGAGATACTGACAAGCTGGAATGTGTCCAGAGCAGGGCGACTCAAATGATCAAGGGTCTGGAGAACAAGCCCTATGAGGAGCGGCTTAAGGAGCTGGGCATGTTTAGCCTGAAGAAGAGAAGGCTGAGAGGAGATATGATAGCCATGTATAAATATGTGAGAGGAAGCCACAGGGAGGAGGGAGCAAGCTTGTTTTCTGCTTCGCTGGAGACTAGGACTCGAAACAATGGCTTCAAACTACAAGAAAGGAGATTCCATCTGAACATGAGGAAGAACTTCCTGACTGTGAGAGCCGTTCAGCAGTGGAACTCTCTGCCCCGGAGTGTGGTGAAGGCTCCTTCTTTGGAGCTTTTAAACAGAGGCTGGATGGCCATCTGTCAGGGGTGATTTGAATGCAATATTCCTGCTTCTTGGCAGGGGGTTGGACTGGATGGCTCCAAGAAGTCTCTTCCAACTCTGATTCTATTATTTCTGCATGTCAGGGAGCTGGGACTGGATGGCCCTATTATTTTATGATTCTATGATTCAATCCTGAAAGGCAAGATCTGAGCAATTTTGGGGATGAGAAGGTATTGTTGTTGTTGACAAGTGCCTTCAGGCCAACTTTGACTGATGGAGATGCTATGATTGAGGGACCTCCAAGCCAGGTCTGCTCAGGTCTTGGAGACTCAGGAGAGCCACGTCTCCTTGGTGGAGTCCATCCCCCTGCAATTCAATCTCTCTCTTTTCCTTCTGCCTTCTCTTACTTACTGTCTTTTCTAGCGAACCCTGTGTAATCGTGATATGGCCACATTACAACTAGTCAGTTCAGTCATTTTGGCTTCTAGGAGGAAGTAAAGATTGATTTTCTCTAGGACCCGTGTATTTGCCTTTTTCAAACGACGGTACCAACAAAACTCGACTCCCTCACATTTCAATTCAGCTTTCTTCACTGTGCAACTTTCACAACCATTCACAGAAAAAGGTATTTTGTGGTCATACATAGAAAATGATACCATGCGGCCTTTAATACATTAGTCAAGGCCACTTTAGAGAGCAGCTGACATCAGCAACAACCTCTGGCCTGGAGACTTTAGCCCTTTTATATGCCCTGATCCCCATTGAGCTCCTTGAGTAATTTTTTTTTACTCCCCCCCCCCCCCCCTCGCATTGTTTGGTGGATACTGACAGAAAATGTTTTCTCTCCCATGTGGCACTAAAAATAGGTTCTCATCATCGGAATAGCACAGCGGTGTGTATAGCAATATGACATCCTTTCAAGATATTCCCCTCCAGACCGACCATACCCGGCTCCCTAAGGAATTCATGATATCCAGACCGATGAACACTTTAGTCTCCTTTGGCCAGGCTCAGCCACAGAGCCCTGTTGTGATTGGGGAGAAATAAGAAAGTTTTATGTTTGCACCCGAACATCTTCAAAAGGAGTGAGGTCAAGCCACCCAAGTGTCGCTGGGTCTTTACTTGTGGAGCTGGGAGGGTCCCTTTGTCCTGCACAATCCGGCATCCGGCTGGAAGTGGAGGGAGGCCTTTCCAAGGCGGAAGACACTTCTGCACACAAGTCCGCCATCTGAAAATACACCAAAGAGACACATACATAAACAAATGATCAGAAAATAAGGGAAAGAGGGGAGGGAGGGATCTGGAGTTTGGCTCTCTTCATGATAAGCGTTCCTGGCTCTTTAGAAGCGTGGGGATGATCTTCTCTTCTCACCTGTGTCTTCTTCTCCTCTTGGGCCCGACTCAGGAGGAATCCTTCAGCCAAGGCCACGGCCTGGGAGCTGGTCTCTGCCCCACATTCCCTGACCCAGCGCTCCATCTCGGCCGGAAGGATGGCCAGGAACTGCTCCAGGATGACCAGGTCCAGCATCTCCGCCTTGGAGTGTCGCTGGGGCTTCAGCCACAGGCGGCAGAGAGAGTGGAGGCGGCTGCAGGCCTCTCGGGGCCCCAAGGCCTCCTGGTAGGTGAACTGCCTGAAGCTCTGGCGCTCTGCCCCTGAAGGTGGTGGGGGCTCTCCCCTTGGCAGCCCCCCCTCCTCCTCCTCCTCCTTCCCCACCAGAAGGCTTCCTCCTCCTCCTCCCCACCACTGCCCTCCATTCCCAGCAGCAGCAGCAGCAGGAAAGGCAGGCGGAGGGTCCTGGCTTGGCTCTGCTGGGCCTGAAGATGCACCACCGGGCTGGCTTCCCTCCTGCGGCCTCTCCTGGCAGCCAGGCTCCAACCTGGGCAGCAGGAGAGCCATGGCCCCCTCTGGGAAGGAAGGAAGGAAGGAAGGAAGGAAGGAAGGAAGGAAGGAAGGAAGGAAGGCACTCTCTCTCTCTCTAAGTCAGGAAGCCTCCCAAGGCTCTCCCAGCCACTCCTCCTCCTCCTCCTCCTCCAGGAAGAGTTCCACATGGCCAGGAGAGGAGGGGCCTGGCCTGCAGGAGGCTTCTGATTGGCCATTCACTTCCCCTCTAGGAATCCACATGTTTAGCTTTAACTCTTTGGAAGTCAACTAGCAAAACCTCCCTCTGGAAGACATGGGGAGAGGCTGCTTTCAAGGCATTTTCCCAGGACAAGGGGAGGGTTCGAAGAACTGAAAGCAGCAGTTCCCAAACTGAGGACCTCTGAATATTTGGACTTTAATCACCACAATACACAATCCTTGGCCAAGGAAGATGAGGCTTCTGGAAGATGAAGTCCAAAACATCTGGAAGTCTAAAAATTGGGACATTGTCTTAAAGGCACCAGGACACTTGCTGTTCTTGGAAGCTAAGAAGGAGTAGCTCTGGTTGTGCTTGTATAGCTGAAGCTTGTTAAAATAGTTAATGGGCCAAAGCTAGTGTTGTTCTGAGGAGAGTGAGCAGGCCAAAGCCTGTTAGTCAGTGGGCCAAAGTTAATGTCGTCCTGAGGAGAGTGAGTAGGGTAAACCTGTTAGAGTCAGTTGGCCAAAGTTAGTGTCGTCCTGAGGAGAGCGAGTAGGCCAAAGCCTGTTAGTCAGTGGGCCAAAGTTAATGTCGTCCTGAGGAGGGTGAGCAGGCCGAAGCCTGTTGGATTCAGTGGCCCAAAGCTAGTGTCGTCCTGAGGAAAGTAAGCAGGCCAAAGCCTGTTAGAGTCAGTGGTCCAAAGCTAGGGTTGTCCTGATGAGAGTGAGCAGGCCAAAGCCTGCTAGAGTCAGTGGGCCAAAGCTAGTGTCATCCTGAAGAGAGTGAGTAGGCCAAAGCCTGTTAAGAGTCCGTAGGCCAAAGCTAGAGTCGTCCTGAGAGTGAGCAGGCCGAAGTCTGTTAGAGTCTGTGGGCCAAAGCTAGTGTCGTCCTGAGGAGAGTTAGTAGGCCAAAGTCTGTTAGACTCAGTAGGCCAAAGCTAGTGTCGTCCTGAGGAGAGTGTGCAGGCCAAAGCCTGTTAGAGTCCGTGGGCCAAAACTAGTGTCGTCCTAAGGAGAGCACATAGGCCAAAGCCTGTTAGTGTTTGTTTGCCTCAGTGAGGAAACTCCCCAATCAGAGTGAGGTAAAAATTTCTGTGTAAGAGAAGCCTTGTGAGGCAGCTCCAATACGAAGGCTACTTCATATAAAGCTAATATGTATTTGTTTATAATCGAGTTTGGCTCCTAGAATTGACCATTGTGGTGGCCTTGCTCTGAACATAACATAATTTTTCAGGATTAATTACATAAAGAAAGCTTCACACAGGAACCACGGTGACATTTGGGAGGCCTCCGTGTAGAACCACAGCCATAGTCTAAGCGGATGAGTTTGTTTTTGAACAACCTTTAGTTGCAAAGACTAAAGATGTCAAATTTGGAAGAGAAGAGCAGATAGAAACGGTCATATCAGACTGTCCTAAAGTATAGCATGAGTTCAACTAATCCTATGTTAGCTATTCATAATTCTCCTCTGTTTTGCTATTACTGTTCTTCCTTCTCAGCATGGATTCCATTTACTTGCTCTTCAAGCAATTTAATGGTGGTCGGGATTAACTTTAAAGCAGTGGTTTGCAACCTGAGGATCTCCAGATATTTTGGCCTTTCAACTCACCTAACTCCTAACAGCTGGTAAACTGGATGGGATTTCTGGGAGTTGTAGGCCAAAACGCCTGGGGACCCACAGGTTGAGAACCACTGTTTTAAAGGTTATTGAGGAAGGATCAGATGGAATACTCAAAGATCCTCTCTTCACAAGTATGTATACTGTTTGTGTTAGAATAGGGTTGGTGTGGTCTATAAAGACAGATAGGGAAAAAAAGGGGAAAAATGGAATGGAGGAATCAGTAAGGAATACCTCAACACTATTTATTTATTGTTATTATTTGAAACACAACAAGATTAGTACACAGCAAACAAGATTACTATGCTGGTTGTTGCATTGGATCACATGTTGAACACTTTCCAAGTATCTAGGACTATGTGATGTATTGATGAATAATACGTTCAGATTCCAGTAGGGTGGCCTTTTGCAGCTGACACGTGGTAATTTTTCAGCGCCAATTGTGTTTAAGTGTAAGCCAAGGTCTTTAGGCATTGCATTATTATTATTATTATTATTATTATTATTAAAATTATTGATACCCTGCTTTATCTCCCCTGAAGGGGACTCAGAAGCAGCTTAACATAAAAGTGCAAGCACACCATTTAAAATATACATAGATACAAATACGGAAACAGAATTAAATGGAAACAGTATTAAAAGCTTCACAATTAAAACCGTTCAAACATATTTGCATTATATCTCCTTAAAGATAAATTAGTTATTTCTGCATCATATTCTTCCACCCAAAAAACGCTGTTTTATTAAAACCTAAATATATGATTTGTTTGAGGTATATATTTAACCCACTTAAATATTTCTAAATTTTCAAAAAGGAGACAGCATTTCAAAAAGGTAAATCAGCAGCAACAGCTGTAGCAGCAGTTCAGCAAATCAGAAGCTTCTGGTGGCTGTAATAGAGTGACTGTGGTTAAGCAATTCAGGAACAGGGTCAAGCTTAACAAGTTATAGAAGACTTTGCCCAAAGAACATCACTAGATAGGAAAGTGAACAGGGCCTAGCTATCCATCTAACCCACACCAGACATCTTTCTATGCTCATCGAAGAAGAGCAAAGAGAACAGCTGCTTCGAGTCTCCTTAGTGGAGAGAAAAAGTGGAGTCCCAACATTGTATGCTTCGCATTCCTGACCATGAATCTTGTCTAGCTTAAAACCTCTTTTTGTCTTCTCTCTTATTTTCAGGCACTCTTGTTTAGATATTTCATCAAAAGAAGCCAGCTTCTTCATAAAGAAAGTTTTTATTTTAAAAAAAATAATTCCAGTCATTCTTGAAGAAAACAACAACAAAGAAATACTATTTAAAAGTCTATTACAGAAGTTCAGTCTCCTCATGGTTTGGATGAGGGAAAAGGAAGATGTCTCTTTTCACAAAAGCTCTTTTCGCACTCCTTGCATTTAAAGGGTTCTTTCCCCCGTGTGTTTCACTTCATGACGCTGTAGGCTTCTCTTCCGTTTGAAACTTCTTCCACACTCCAAGCACTGAAATGTTTTTTCCTCAGTGTGGATTCTTTGATGTTCTGTGAACTTTGCCTTCTGTGTAAAGCCCTTCCCACACTCCAAGCATTTAAATGGCTTATGCCTGGTATGAGTAGCTTGATGATAGGTGAGGCTTGTCTTCAGAGTGTAACCTTTCCCACACTCCAAGCATTTGAATGGCTTCTCCCCAGTATGAGTAGCTTTATGATAAGTCAGATGTGCCTTCTGAATGAAGCCCTTCCCACACTCCAAGCATTTAAATGGTTTCTCCCCAGTATGAGTAGCTTGATGATAAGTGAGGCCTATCTTCTGAGTGAAACTCTTTCCACACTCCAAGCATTTAAATGGCTTCTCCCCAGAATGAATTATTTGATGAACTGTGAGGTTTCCCTTCAGATTAAAAGACTTCCCACACTCTAAGCATTGAAATGGCTTCTCCCTAGTATGAGTAATTTGATGACAGTTGAGGCTTGTCTTCTGAGTGAAACTCTTTCCGCACTCCAAGCATTTGAATGGCTTCTCCCCAGTATGAGTAACTTGATGATTGGCAAGGCTTGTCTCCTGAATGAAGGCTTTCCCACACTCCAAGCATTTAAATGGCTTCTCCCCAGTATGAGAAGCTTGATGATTGGTAAGACTTGTTTTCAAAGTGAAACTCTTTCCACACTCCAAACATTTAAAGGGTTTCTCCACTGAGTGAGTTTTTTGATGAGAAGTGAGATGTGCCTTCAGAATAAACGACTTCCCACACTCCAAGCATTTAAATGGCTTCTCCCCAGTATGAGTAGCTTGATGATAAGTGAGGCTTGTCTTCATAGTGAAAGTCTTTCCACACTCCAAGCATTTAAAGGGTTTCTCCCCTGAGTGAATTCTTTGATGAGAAGTAAGATGTGCCTTCAGAAAAAAAGACTTCCCACACTCCAAGCATTTAAATGGCTTCTCCCCAGTATGAGTAGCTTGATGATAAGTGAGACTTGTCTTCATAGTGAAACTCTTTCCACACTCCAAGCATTGAAAAGGTTTCTCCCCTGAGTGAATTCTTTGATGAGAAGCGAGATGTGCCTTCAGAATGAAAGACTTTCCACACTGGAAGCATTTAAATGGCTTCTTCCCAGTACGAGTAGCTTGATGATAAGTGAGGCTTCTTTTATGAGTAAAAGACTTCCCACACTGGAAGCATTTAAAGGGCTTCTTCCCAGTATGAGTAGCTTGATGATTGGTAAGGCCTGTCTTCCGAATGAAGCCCTTTCCACATTCCAAGCATTTAAATGGCTTCTCCCCAGTATGAATTGCTTGATGATTGGTAAGGCCTGTCTTCTGAAGGAAGCCCTTTCCACATTCCAAGCATTTAAATGGTTTCTCCCCAGTATGAATTGCTTGATGATTGGTAAGGCCTCTCTTCTGGAGGAAGCCCTTTCCACATTCCAAGCATTTAAATGGCTTCTCCCCAGTATGAATTGCTTGATGATAAGTCAGGTGACTCTTCTGAAGGAAGCCCTTTCCACATTCCAAACATTTAAATGGCTTCTTCCCAGAATGGATTGCTTGATGACGGGTGAGGCTTCTCTTATGAGTGAAACTCTTTCCACACTCCAAGCATTTAAAGGGTTTCTCCCCTGAGTGAATTGTTTGATGAGAAATGAGAGGTCCCTTCCGAATAAAAGACTTCCCACACTCCAAGCATTTGAACTTTTTCTCTCTGGTGTGAGTTGCTTGATTCTTAGCAATGCTTTTCTTCTGACGGAAACATTTTCCCCGCTTCAAGTACTTGAAGGGTTTCCTCTTACTGGACGTTGCTTGCTGACGAGAGAGACACAGCTCCTGATTCTCTCCACAGTCCTGGTATTGAGATGATTCTCCTTCTCTGTGAGTTGCTTGACAACAAAGACAATGAGAACACATATTTAAGAAATGAAATCTTAATAGATATTGAAGTGCTCACCAACAATTTAGGTAATCAATCCCATTGCTGAACTTCTCTCACTTCAAGAGTTTTCTTCTGCAGTCATCTTACAGCCTACTTTTTTGTAACTTCTAACAATTAGACCTGGATGTACCCTGTTCAGCAAGACTAAATGCTAATTTCCAGGGCTAGCAAATCATGAAATCATATAGAAGATACAACTTTCCACCAGGCTCAGATGGGTGAAACCACAGATATGAATATACAGGGCACATGCTGTAGTTACTAACTGTGAATAAGAGAGCGCCTATTTCTGCATTTTTGAAAAAAAGTATTTCTAATAATACCCCAAATTACAAACAAACATATATATATACATATATAAGATATATAACATATCTTATATATGTATATATATATGTATATATATGTATATATATGTATATATATATATACACACACACATATATATGTTTTTATATATATATGTATGTATGTATGTGTATATATATATATATATATATACACACACACACACACACATACATACATACATATTCATATATACATATATAAGGTATATAAACCCCTTTTTTCCCCAGTTCCAGCAGACCTCACCTCTGAGGATGCTTACCATAGATGCAGGCGAAACGTCAGGAGAAATGCCTCTAGAACATGGCCATATAACCCGAAAAAACCCACAAGAACTGAGTACAAACAAACAGTTCTTGTTGACCCAGAAACAGGACGGCTCCCCATATTTTGTGACAAATTTGAGGGACTGCAGTCTAAATAGCTAATTATTTGGGGGTTTTGTTGTTGTATTATAGCTAATAGATGAGCACTAGAAAGAAAGTGGACGATTTCTCATTGAGATGGTTTATACATTGGGAGCCCAATGGGTTAAACCCTGAAGACTGAAACAGGTTTGAATCCGGGGAGAGCACGGATGAGCTCTCTCTGTCAGCTCCGGCTCCCCATGGGGGGACATGAGAGAAGCCTCCCACAAGGATGGTATAACATCAAAACATCAGGGCATCCCCTGGGCAACGTCCTTGCAGACGGCCAATTATCTCACACCAGAAGCGACTTGCAGTTTCTCAAGTCGCTCCTGACAAAGGAAAAAAAATACATTGGACTATGACTCCTCTAGACACTATATCTGATTCCCTGCTCAGTTATGGAAACCTACTGGGTGACCTTGGGCAAGTCACACAATATCAGCACCAAAAAACTCTGTGATGGATTTATCTAAGGCTTGCCATAAAATGCAAAGGACTTCAAGGTACACAACAACAACAACAACAACAACAACAACAACGGGAAAAAATGGCATCTGTTGTACAAAATGATGGAAACAACCAGTTTCTTTTCAACCTGTTTCAACACTGTTGATTTCAGACATGACACCTGGGTGTTTCTGCCTCCCTCCACATCATGTCAGACCTATAGAGAGATGCTATAGTTGAATGATAAACTTAATGTTATTGTATCCTGCTGTGAACTTATGCCAAACCTGGTGTGTCCTTTGCCCCCTTCCTTTTTCTTAAGTGATATTATGCAGCTATATCATGTTGTTACTAATACTTTCTTATACAAGAGGGAGCCTTACTTAAAGAGGACACAGTCTCCAGAATTTCCTCCATGACCTCCTGATGCAAGGCCCTTTGGTCCGGATTCAGCAGGGCCCACTCCTCCTCACTGAAAGACACGGCCACCTCTTGGAAGGTCACCTGGACAGAGAAACATGATCGGTAAGCAGGAAATGCTGACCACAGCCAGAAACCAGTTGCTTCTGATGGCCAAGTTAAATGTCAGTCTTTATACAGGGATTTTGCTGCAGGCATCTTGGGTGGAAAGAGGGGGAAATGGCAATGCAAAGAGGACACTGAAAGCCTGAGCCCTTCTTGGCCCACCAGGGATTTTCTCACTTACCTGATCTGGTGTCAAACAAGATGTGCTGCGTACATCAGAAGAAAGAGGTAAGCCAGTACGTGTTGGTTCTAATTCACCCCCTGTAGGAAGAGAAAAGGAAGGGCATTTTATTGGCCATGGTCTCCATTTCTGGTAAGAGCTGTTCAAGAATGGAGTATGCTGTGACCTGAGAGTGCAGTGGAGTCTCTTTCTCTGGAGGTTTTTAAACAGGTTGGATGGCCATCCATTTGGAGTGCTTTGAATGTGTGTTTCTGCCTGGCAGGGAGTTGAGACTGTATGGCCCTTGTGGGCTCTTCCAACTCTAAGATTCTATTATTTTATGATTCTACTAGCTGTCCCCTGCCATGCATTGCTGTGGCCCAGTCTGTGTGTATATATGTGTGTTGATGTATATATGTGGTTTTGCGCATGTGTTGTAATATATTTGGGGGGGGTTGTGTTTTTCAGTGTTTTTCTGAGTGATGGTCACTCGTTGGCCTGAGAGGTGTCTTCTGTCCAAATTTCGTGTCAATTTGTGAAGTGTTTTTTGAGTTATGTTAATCCCACAAATAAATATTACATTTTATTTATATAGATGATTCAATCATGGAAGGCAAGTTCTGAGTAAAGCTGGAGGCATTGTTATTGTTGTTGGTAAGTGGTTCAGGCCAACTTTGACTGATGAAAATTCTATGAAATAGGGATTTCCTAGCCAGATCTGCTCAGGTCTTGGAGATTAAGAACAGCCAGGGCTCCCTTGGTGGAGACCATCCCCCTGCGATTCATTCTCTCTCTTTTCCTGCTGCCTTCTCTCTTACTAAGACTTATTGTCTTTCCTAGTGAGCCCTGTGTAATTGTGATATGGCCACATTGCAACTGTCAGTTCTGATATCTTGGCTTCTAGGAGGAAGTAAAGCTTGTTTTTCTCTAGGAACCGTGTATTTGCCTTTTTTGCCAACGGCATCCACCAAACTCTCATCCAGCACATTTCAATTTGGCTTTCTCCACTGTGCAGCTTTCACAGCCATATCTAGAAAACGGTACCTTGCAGCCTTTCATTCATTAGCCAAAGCCACTTTTAGAGCAGCTGACATCAGCAACAACCTCTGGCCTGGAGACTTCGGCCCTTTTATACACCCTGATCCCCATTGAGGAATTTATTCCCCTCTGCTTTTTTGGTGGATATTAAGGAGAGAAAGTTGTACCTTAAAAATAGGTTCTCACCATGGGAAGGGCATAGCAATATGTATAGCAGTATGACATCCTTTCAACATATTCCCCTTTTCACCTGCTCTTCTCCAGGCTGACCATACCCGGCTCCCTAAGCTGCCTCCAGGCTGACCATACCCGGCTCCCTAAGCTGCCTCATGATATCCAGACAGATGACCACTTTGGTCTCTTTTGGCCAGGAACAGCCTCGGAGCCCTGCTGTTGTTTTATTTACTTCATTTTTTTTAGTGAAGTGATTGGGGAGAAATAGAATCATAGAGTTGGAAGAGCCCACATTGGACTAGTTTGTTTGCCAGAAGGTCATGGGGGACCTTGTCAAAAGCCTTACTGAAATCCAGATACGCTACATCCACAGCATTCCCTGCATCTACTTAGCTTGTAACTATCGAAAAAAGAGATCAGATTAGTCTGGCATGACTTGTTTTTCATAAATCCGTGTTGACTATTAGCAATGACCGCATTTGCTTCTAAGTGTTTGCAGACCACTTCCTTAATGACCTTTTCCAGAATCTTGCCTGGTATCGATGTGAGGCTGACTGGACGGTAATTGTTTGGGTCATCCTTTATCAACTTTATCAAAAAAGAGGTCAGATTAGTCTGGCATGACTTGTTTTTCATAAATCTGTGTTGACTATTAGCGATGACCGCATTTGGTATTTTTCTACTACTGTAATAGTGGACCTGTTGTCTTATTGGACTGGATGACCCATGAGGTCTCTTCCAACTCTAGGGTTCTTCTCTGGCTGCCTACCAGTTGTGGCAATGGGAGCAGACTGGGAGCAGGTGACAGCAGTGGAGAGGAGGAACAGCCACAATACACCTCCAGTATATGTCAGTGGACTCAAAGTCACTGCACATAATCACATGGCTGAAATTGCTTTGGATAACTGATTGAATGCATATTGAGCAGCCCTAATGTGCAAAAACAGCTGCTTGAGCACAACTTGAAGATCGATTTGCAGTGAGTTGACAGTGCTGCCATGTAAAGCCAGCCACCATCCAACGCAGCTCTCATCCCTAGGCACTACACTCCTCTAAGGATGCAACCAAAAATGCATTATTTTTTTAAGCTGATTGATTGTATTGTTTACTTCTGTTAAGGAGTGTATCCAAAGGCTCCTGGATCCCTTTCATACATATATACGTTCATAGAGCCACAAAGACCACAAAGGAGTAGAGGTGAGCCACCCAAGTGTGGCTGGGTCTTTACTTGTGGAGCTGGGAGGGTCCCTTTGTCCTGCACAATCCGGCATCCGGCTGGAGGTGGAGGGAGGCCTTTCCAAGGCAGAGGCCACTTCTGCGCACAAGTCCGCCATCTGAAAAAACACCAAAGAGACACAAGTAGAAATGATCAGAAAACAAGGGACAGAGGGGAGGGAGGGATCTGGAGTTTGGCTCCCTTCATGACAAGCGTTCCTGGCTCTTTGCAAGTGTGGGGATGATCTTCTCTCTCTCTCACCTGTGTCTCCTTCTCCTCTTGGGCCCGACTCAGGAGGAAGCCTTCAGCCAGGGCCACGGCCTGGGAGCTGGTCTCTGCCCCACATTCCCTGACCCAGCGCTCCATCTCGGCAGGAAGGACAGCCAGGAACTTTCAGCCAAGGCCACGCCCGTCTGCGCCGAGCTGCGTACTCTAGACCCCCCCCCACATTCCGGACCCAGACCAGTACAACCCTCAGATCTCGCCGCCGGGAAGGTACGGCCAGCGAACTGCTCAGGCAGATGACCAGGCTCCTAGCATACTCTCGCCTTGGGAGTGTACTGGGGCTTCAGCCACAGGCGGCAGAGAGAGTGGAGGCGGCTGCAGGCCTCTCGGGGCCCCAAGGCCTC